AGATGACTCACCGCAATCAACCACTTTGAGAAAAAAATATGGTCTCTAAATGTTATGTCTACAACTAATTAACTGTATTTATCGTAAGACCTATAGAAATACAGAAACTGTGAAGTTTAGGGAAAATTTAATTAGGTTTTCAAACAAATGCCAGGCTGCCCAGCGTTCTTTTTTTTTTTTTTTCTTTTTTTTGGAAAAAACCAGCAATCTCTTTGCCAAGTAAACCGAAATATGCTAAAATGTAAATGTCGATGTGTTTCAGCAAGGAAATTTAATCGCTGAATGCAAACTTTGTTTTCAAAAATTGAAATGTTGAAATCCTCCAGGTTTCAAACTGAAAAGTAGGATTGTATATACACAGTCTTTGACGTTTTTACATTAATTCTTTTCTTCAGATACTGTATTTTCCTCCATTGAAACATCTACTTGCAGTAGAGCTGATGGATTTAGCCCCAGATGTATATATATATGTATATATATAGGTGCTATATAGTAAATAATGATTTTTTTTCACCCCTTTTTCGTTCCTAATGCCTCAAAATTATTTGAGTATACTTGCATAACAATTGATAGCACTGGAGACGTGGTGGTATATGCTCTCTGTTATAAGGGAGGGCAGGACAAGGTTCAGAAATCAAATTCCTGAATGAAAATGTTGTGGTCTTGGGTGTGGAGGGCGCATGGGCAACAAATAAAATCAAGTGGGGCCTCATGCATGCTTTAGTAGGGGAGTTGGACTAGATGATCTCTATGGTCCCTTCCAACTCTAAAAATTCAGTGAAATTCAGTGAAACAGGACGTGTGTTCTGTAAGTATTTTGGTGGCTTGTTAATGGCATCAAAAGACAAGGGAGAGTAGAGAGGAGATGGATGTTCTCTGGCTTTACAGTGGGTGGGTATCTGAAGGACAAATCCTCTACTGGACCCAAAAAAATAATGCCTTTTCAAGTAGGTCTTGGGAAACAATTTTTATCTGCAAAAGCTCCCATTCCTCATACAGCGCTGAGAAAATAGATGGAGTAGTCAGGAGATTAGTGACCTTAGGCAAATCAACACCACATACCACAATCCGTTTAAACTTCAGGTCTTGGAGAAGCTGTTTGAAGAGTGGCTTCATGAGCCAGCAGTAGGCTGGCACTTCTAGGTTTTTTTCTCATCAGGATAATGGTCCCTCCTCTTGGCAAGGGAGAACTTGCTCCGTGAGCCCCCGCATCCATGGCTCGGTTGGAGAGCAGCCGGCTGGCCAGCCAGCGTGGCAGTGGGGACGTCTGGAAAGCAAGAACATCTTTCTTCAGGCTGGTCAGGAGGGTGTTGGTGCAGCACCGAGTCTAAGTTCATGGAGAGCACCGCCAAGCACCTTCTGGCTCTGGACTAGAGGACTGGTGTACGGGAGCCAAGATAGGGAAGCCCCGAGGAAGGGCTGGGGCCAAAACTGGAGAAATCAAATGTAGGTCGGAATAGAGGACTTTGCCGACCAAATTTGGATTGTCACCAACTGCTTCTATTTAATGAGACCTTGTGGAAAGCAGGACCTTAACGCTATAAACTTCCGAAAGGGGGAGCAGAGCATCTAGATGGGTGATTAACCAACTAGAATAATCAGTTGTGTGCGAGATGCTTTGGGGGATAGCTGTGATGCAGTTTGTGGAAAGAACGAGGTGTCATTTCAGTTTTTTAGGGATGTAAGTTTGTAACTAATTTTTGTCTCTCCTTGCCAGCGTAACGGTTTGAATGTTAATTTAATTTTGCAGAATATCATTTATGTAAATGTAATTAGAAGGGAAACATGATCGGGAGATGCACAGCACCAAAGAAAATTTATTACTCCAAGGGGTATTGCTCTAATCATTCAACTGCAATATTGAGTTTCCCCAGATTTAATCTAAAAGCAATAAATTACAAAAGGCTAATGTCCTGCCCAACAAAAAGCTGTCATGAACCCAAGTTTCTGCGGGGAAAAAATTCAACTTCATTTCAGCAACAGGCTCTCCTCGTTTACACATTCCTTTTATGATTCCAGTCAAGTCAAAGTAAAATGAATACAAATGTGTGGGTTCGAACACTTTCCCTGAATATGTATGTGTGTCTGTTGGTGATTGTAATAATCAGCAATCCGAGGCGCTGGGACTCTGTTATCTTGGGCCGAATGAGGAATGCAGTCCTGCAAAGATACAACTGTGGATTCTCCTCCCCACCTTCTCGTGACCCTGTGATTTAAGGGAAGGCAAACTTGACTCTGATTCATTCCAGTGTCCGTGTGAAAGTCTGTTGCCAACGTGCCGTCGTTTCTGTCCGGCTGACGAAGCGAAGGAGGAGAAACAAGCTGTCCCTTTTGGAAGGTGCTCCATGGGAAACACCTTCTGCATGGGGAAGGTGCTGCTGGTCTGCGTTTGCTAAAGGGACCCCTTTGGAAAGCAGCATGAAAAACAAAGGATAATCGGATAACATCATGTGGTTACTTCTCAAAGCCTTTGAATTCTGCAATTTGAGGTGCATCCCTCCGCTTGATAAAGCCTGCAATGAAAATTTTTCAGCAAATGAACAACAGCTAGGCAAAATAAGACTTGGTAAATTCCTGCCTAATGTGTAGGCTAAAGCACTGCTAAATGTTGGGGTTTTGTAGTGCAATTTAGTATGAAGGCTGATGCCAACATTACACTTCTCTAAGAAGCAGAGTAATTAGTACAGGAAATAGGTTTCTGATGTTTTATTTAGCCAAATTCATCTCTGGTTTAACTCCACTGTAACCTGTATTACATTTGGTCTCATTTCCCAGTGTTCCTCTACACAGTTCTTTATGCCATGACCTTTAATTCACCGTGATTGTCTTTTATTGTAGGTAGGGACCAGAGTTCCTTTCTCAGGTTGTTAGTATCGATTATGTCGTAAGCCTGGGTTTCTTGGCTTGCAAAAGGAAGCCCATCAGATCTGCAACAAGTTTTTACAAAGTGCAAATTGGCGGGTTTACAGGTTCTCACAGCTGTACATGGGACGCGGGGAGAAGCACAGGTTGCATCCTCAAAGACCTGGAGAAACAGAGGTGGGAGAGGACCAAGGGAAAATGCAAGGAAGAGAGGAAAAAATGATGTTGTGAGAAGCAGGGGAGGAGGTGCTCAACATAGGAATGAGGAATGTCCTTGAGGGGGGAAAACAAGTGTTAGGAGGATGGCTGAAAGCAGTAACCAGCAGTCTGGAGAATGAGAGAAGGTGACTGGGCTTGTTGGGGACGTATGAACAAGCTGGTGAGGCTCAGGATGTGCTGCTGACCAACAAAGCCAAGCCAATTATGAAAACAATTACTGAATTCAAATCAGTGTCTTCCTCCTTGTCCCAACTGAGCTCTGGAGATAAGGTCCAAGGGCTCCTTGTGAATGACTTTGGCCGAGGGCAGGAGATGTGTGTGTGCGGGTCTGTGGTGGGTTCCCATGCTGTGATGGCACTGGTGGGGCAGGGAGGCAGCTGCCTTCTCCTCCTCCTCCTCCTCCTGACTCTTGTGTGCGTTGCAAGGATGAGTTCCTGCGCTCTTTGATGGGGCAGGCACCCCAACTTCTGTTTCCTTTTGGCCAACCCACAGTTAGACTGAAAGGAGGAGATGGTGGTGGAGAAATTCATACCAACGTACAACCTCCATGGGCTTTTGGGCTGTTCTGGCTGTACTTCTCCACCCACGGGGGTTTGGGGAGGTACAAAAGCATGCAGCAGAACATAGGACAGAACTGCTGCGGGTGCACTTAATTAACAGTGAACATGCAGAGCACTAATCATCTCATCCTTGGTGGTGTGCAAGCGCAGCGCGGATGGTGACAACCTGAAGAGCAAGCGGCAGCCTCTGCTGTAGGATTGCACAGAGTGCTGGGGCTTTTTCTGCAGGCAAATCAGTAGAGAATGATGAAACCACAGAGCAGCAGTGGGAAAGGTCTTACCTTAGTGATCTGTGACGTACAGGGGTTGCAAGATGCAGGGCTAGAAGACCTGAGATGTATTTTTCATTTCACAAGATGTGAAATAGCGCTTAAGATTTTTTTTGTCTCTGTTTTTGCATAATGCAAGAAGGGGAATCCTGCCTCATGGAAAATTTTTTCTGCCCCAAATGAAGACGACTGTTCTAAAATTCCGTAAGATGCGTACATGAAGATTTTATTAGTCAATGAAGTCTTCCAAGACCATCATCATTTATTACAGTTCCTGTGTTTTTCATTCCAATGAGATTTATAATTATAAACTGGTAATTAAAGAGGCTCCACTATGTAATTCCATAGGAATTCCACTGTGATCTGACATTAATTAACAACCAATTATAAATTATGATATAACTTTTAAAAAACCCACCAGTGTCTGGATGCCTTCTCTCGGTTACAGTGAAAGCTTAGAAGGAATTTCGCTTTTGACCGCTGGAACCTTGATGCAGTTTGGTGGGAACTACTGGGCGTTACTGGTGTGTTTCCACAATGCAACAACTCCGTGGATGGGCAGGTTTGACCTACGGAGGATTTTTATCCTCATCTGGGTTTTAAGAGGCATCTGTCTCGCAGGATTTCCACCTTCTGTCATGTCAACAAGTGTGCACGCTTTAACGCTTAGATTTTATCTGACTGGTTATGTAAATTAGGCTGATGAGATGCATCGCTTGTCTGCCCCTTGCAAGCTTGCTCTGGCTCGAAAGTGTATTTTCAAAAATCACAGCCCATCAGGAAAAATAGAAAAATAATTACTGGCTCCAATGACAATGTCTCCGGGATAGAAAAGACTTGATAGCAGGTTAAGGGGATAAACCATTAAAATTCTGGCATTATTTAGCCATCTGCGTTAGAGATCTTCTGTCTAATGGAATTTTTGTGTCCCCAAAATCTGAGGGGTAGAATGCTGCCTAGAGATACGTGGGCAATAAAACGCCTGGTACATGCGGAGAGTCAATACTTAACATCTCTCTTTCCTTTTTTCTCCTTTTCTTTATTTCTTTTACTTTTTTTTTTTTTTTAATTATTATTATTTGTGACCTCAGGTCAGTAATCATCATTAAGTTTTTCGGCAAAAGGGAGGAAGTGGGATAATACCGAAATCCATTACTTACAAAAACCATGTAGAGAACAAGAGACATAAAAGGAGACAACAGATTCTTTTCGCATGGGTGAAATCATGAGGTAAGTTTTCAAAGCCTTGCCCTGCAGATTAATTTCCACCATCTCCATTAAGCCAAAATGAAAATCACGTGTGTGTTTCTGAGTGTTCCTCAGCACACTCCTCCTTTGCCTCTTTTGCAGCTCCTCCCTGGGACCTTCTGCTTCTCCTTTGATCAGACCTCCAAGACCTCTCCCGTGAAGTGCAGCTTCTGATCTGATCAAAGTCCGTTCGGGCAACGGAGTGAAGAGAAGCGTGGCCCTTTCCATCATCTCCACATCCAGCTTTCATTATTAAGCAACACTCATCTGAGCATAAAGTTGGTCAGGAAGGTAATAGTGTGGCTTAACTTTTGTTGGCTTTGGAGTCCTCCCTGTTTCTCTGGGTCGGTGTGGTTGCGTGGATGTACGTCGTTTGTCTTTCCATTGTAATTTTTTGGCCTTTGACGATAGGGGAAATCTATGGGAGCAATCCTCTCATTTAAACTTGGACAAATCTAACCATCTTGACCAAGAGATAGTCCTGCCTGTTGCTTTCTCCATCGTTAATGTTAATATACCTGTTCTCCTCTAAACCAGATAGGATTTCAGCCGAGAAATTGCCATAAAAATCTCCTCCCGTTATGTCGCATCTCGCTCGTTATCAGGGCATCTCTGACTAGCTTTGCCAGCTCGCCAGAGATGTGTCACTGACAGCGAGGAACAAAATGCAGCTTTGGCACAGGGAAACATTATAAACGTGCTAGATCAGATCGGCATCAGCGGGGAATCAGCCTACTCCTATTGGACCCAGAGAGTATTCATGAACTAAACTCCTTGCTTTTACTTGTAGCTATCCCTAGAAGGTATTAAGTTTTTAAGATCTGGCTGCATGCATTTCAGATATTAATATGTTCTTTTGGTTCTGTGCCCGAATAAGATTTAGAGGAATTTGGAGAGCAGCTGGACGCTAGAGCTGCAGGAGATCCAGCGTCAAAGCAGGGCTCATAGTAACCAACATCCTGTCAGCAAATCTTAATGTTCTATATTTAACCTACTATTAAAATTATGTTTTCTTATTTTTTGCCTACCTTCAGCTCAGAAGTTTGGTTTCTGTAAGACTGCAGGACGAGGCAAGCTCAGTCGAAGCTATAACATTAATCTCTCTGCTTTCTTTTTAGCTCGCTGTTGATCTGAAGGCAGCTGAAAGGGCAAATGAGAAAGGCAGGTATTATGTTTCAAGGGGAGAGTTATAAAAGTCTAAACTGCATCCAACGTATATTTTACTCCTAATAATGAGAACTGGATGAACAGCCTTTAAAAAAAAATATGAACCTACCCCAACTACATTGGTTCGGAACTAACTGATCTAATGCAGTTTTCCAAAGAATAATTGATATTATATAATCATAACTGGCAGTTTATGTCATGAAAGTGACACTTGACACTTTCCTGCTAACCAGTTTAACATCATCAATTAGAACATCACTTGTGTAATGACATTTTAGTAACCAGTTTAATATCATAAATTATGACATCACCTTCTTTTATGGCATCGGGGTTGAATAAAAGGTTTTCTTTAGTAAAGAGAATAAGGAAAAGAAGTAGGAAACCTTAATATTGCCCCTCATTTTTTCCTTATAAAAGTTACGTATGTTTTAGCCCTCTGGTCCTAGTCCTCTTTAGGGATGATCTGAGAGCTGAGAAGCTACAAACAATTGAAATAAACAATTTAAAAGAACGTGCCCTGGGTTAGCGCAGACAACCTCCCAGTAGACGGTAGTGTCCTTTGCATAACACCAATGGAAGCCATCCAGAAGTGGAGAAGACAGTACGGGCGTGCTCATGGAACCTGATGAACTCAATTATAGTGCAGTAATATTTACTGAGATACGGTGTGAGAGTTCAAGATTGCGTCATTACCCACCAGCGAGTGTTCTTTTTCTTCATGGTCAGTGGCTTTTAAAGTAATCCTTTATATCTTATTCTTCACTGAATGGTCAAATTTGGGTGCTGGAGTCTGGTATTTTAGATCTCAGACTCTTGAGGGCACTGGGTTTGCTGGTGGTTGCTGGTGATTCGAGTCCTGAGTTGGCAAATGGCTCCATTAATTTGTATTTATTTAGCCTCGTGGAACCAGACAGGAGCCAGACATGAATTGAGTTCAGAGTATTCTCAATTAAACAAAGGTCTCTGCACTTGTGTCTTTGTAGGATTAACTGCAAGGAGTCAAATATTTTTAAGTATATTGTGTTTTCAGAGCTGGCTTTCTAATGGCACATGGCATCAGCTTCCTTTTCTTCCTACCAAGGTCAATAGGAATGTTATCAGTGACCACGGCCACAGGCAGAACAAGCCATAATCTAGCGTTTTCAAAGTTCTTCCTGCAATTTTTTCTCTGGAAACTGAATCATTACCATATAAAGCTGTGCTAAACTCCACTGGGACTCTACCCTGAGATAACGTCCCTATGTGTTCTAGCGCTTGTGCAGAAGACTTAACCTTGTACTTGCAGATGGTTGCTGCCAATTCATGTGGTTCTCCCATGGCTTGCCTTCATGTCAGGTCCTTGGTTTACAGAGTGGGGAAAGAATCCTAGGTAGGAAGTCAAATTCACGTTTTAGAAACTGTTGTGTTTTCATTGGGGCATAAGCACGGCCCTGAGTAATCCAGAACACTTTCCCTTGCTAATTCCCAGGCTGTAAATCGGGGATACGAGGAATGGGTGCCACGTGCCACCAAGGCAACTGTTCTGTCCTCAATCAAGTGTCCAGTGCCCAAGAGATGCCCATATACTGACAAGAAGGTGGTAAGTCAATAAGTAGGATAACACTTCTTAAATTACAGACAAAATTTTAAGCAAATCCATGTAAATTGTCAGTGCATGTCTTAGTGGTCTCCTGAGGATACCGTGATTTACCTACTCTCTTTTCTCAACATTTTTTCAAAAGTTTTTTTCCCCCATGAATATTTATGTCAATGCCTCATTTGCTGACTGAATTTCCACTCTGCTGGAATTATGCTTCCCCATAGTGCACCCAGGAAAGGTGAGCCGTTAGAGGTGAGAAAAAGAGATTCCATGACCTTTAGGAAATAGCAAGTGGCACTAGATAAAACCTATTCTGTGAGGGGTTACTTATGGATTGGTTGGACATAATTACCAAAAAATTATTGTCTCTCTGAAACAATTAACTTCTGGTAGATCAGAGTCCAAATCTCCAGAAGCTCTGAACTTTTGCAAATTGGCTTTGGCCATTGTCACTCTTAGGCAATGAGTAATTCTTAAAATAGGCATGAGCGATAGATACCACATATTTCTAGTTATGAGTATGGACTTATTTACAGCTGACATTTTTTTTAAAGTGAGTTGTAAATGTTAAGGTGCTAGATTCAATGCTTATGAATGTGTTTCCTTGGTGATAAAGCTTTCACTAAGCACGTTATCTATCTGTGCTATCTTATATGCAGACAAGAGATGATTCACACTGTATGTTATAGGTCTTGTGCTTTAAAATTGAATTCTCTATTGACTTATGGCTGAGAAACATGGAAATCAAATCCACAGCTGGTTCTTCTTAAAAGTGAAGTTTTGGCAAAAGCAATGAAGGCTTTAATGCATTACAAAAGTGTGCATTTTTTAAAGTTGTTTCACTTCCTATTTTCTCTCTACAAAACTCCCTGAAGTTAGGAGTGCTCTTGTGTTTCATCTTGCAGTTTCAGCAGAACCCAGCCTTGATTTTCCATGCCCTGCTACTGCTTATGAAACGTGAAGAAGATGTTAGTTCATGGGGGTGCACAGATTAAATAAACAAATCCATCGAATGAAATCTTTCTGGCACCAAGAAGCAATTAATCTAATGATGAAGCATTTGTGAAGCATAGAATGGTTTGGGTTGGAAGGGACCTTAAAGATCATCAAGTTTCAACCCCACTGCCATGGGCAAGGACACCTCCCACCAGACCAGGTTGCTCAAAGCCCCCTCCAGCCTGGCCTTGAACACCACATCCACAACTGCGGATTGGAAACAGAAATGGCTTTGGAAAAGGTGAGGTGGAACAGAAAGACTGAGCAAAACCCTCCCTGCCCTGACAAAGAATGTCACTTACATTGAAGTCAAAAGTGTTGGCCCAGTTGAGGTCAACGGGGGTTTGACCATTCTTTCTACTTAACTTTCCTTTGTCAGGAAAATAAGGGAGAGCTGACCCGTTGAATGTCTGTGAGTAGTGTCCCAGTGCATCTCTGCTCTACTCTGCCCTCCTGTGAAAGGATGCTCTTGTTTTTTATCAATTCCAGCACTCAGGGGCTTAGAGGGGCTATAGCAGAGAAAAACAGGTAGGTGCAAAAGGTGCAAAGGGAAAGGAGGCCGGCTGCCAGGGAGACACTGCTGAGCATAAAAAGCCACCGTCCCAGCACACGTCGCACGTTAGGGCTGGAGAACTATAAATGGCATAGGGTTATGTGCCTTAATTGCATCATAAAGTGGAGGGGCCCCAAAGGAGGTCCGGTCTCAGCTGTGCTATGACTGGGACAAACAATTAATGAGACATCTTAGGCATCTCATTAGGCAGGACAGAAGTAGAGAGTATTAATCTCCTGTTCTCTGTGTTTGAGACCTGAGTTTAAATATTCCCAATGTTTACACAAACAATCTATGGAGTAGAGGGGAATGGACCTGGCTTTTCTTGAGCACCATTCCCAATTTCAGGGACTGGCTTTTCCTTCCTTCCTGTATCCAGCAGCATGAGCTCCGCAGCCCTCCTTATTGCGCGTAAGTCATCAAAGACATTTTGATTTTGCTTTTTGTCTCCAATTCCAACTTCTGTCTCTATGGTTTACATTTTGGACAGCTGCAGTGTCCTACGGTAAACAGCAAACTGTTCTATTCCCAATGATTTTCTCTTAATTTGTTAAGTAACTCACTGCTGTCCTTGCATGCACAAAACTGTCCTGCACATTTTTGAGAATGGTATTTTGGGGGCTTTGGATACAGTAAAGGTAAATCAAGAATGAAGTCAAGTGGCATTGCATTTCTGAAGCACAGTGGAGAGAGAGACTCTCTGACCCTGCAGGTTTTAAAACCTCTTTTTGGCCACTCTAGGAGAAACGAGACAGATGTTGACCCCCTTTGCTACCCATTTAGCAAGCCATAGCCCAGGTTGTAGCAACTTCGTGGCAAAATGGGTTCCCTGGTATGTGGTAATGCCCCCACCGAGGTCTGAGCCCTGCTATTGGAACCAGTACAGGCTTTCTGGCATCCCTAGATAAACTCTCCTATCATTTACCAAAGCTGTCAAGGGCTGGCATTGGCTTTGGAGACACCTTAGAGATGGAGCATAGAGCTTCCACCCCATGGGCCAGCCCTGTAGAAACCTGCATGGAGACTACCAAGGTGGTAGGTATGGCTTCACGTGCACCCTGCCTCAGGGGCACGAGTTGTGGAGGACTGCTCTGGAGAAATTAATTCTTTGCTGGGTGGGCATGAATGTAAATGTAAGAATTATTCACATCAGCCACCCAGTGGACTAACACCCTGCAGGTGGCTCTGATTAGAGGCCAGAAGCAAGCAAGAAGGTGCAGGGCCTCCTAGAGCCTGCATTCCTACTTTTGGGTTTGCTGCCATTGTTGTCTTGGCTTTGGGACAGCTTTCGCTGGAGCTGTTGCCTAGATCCTGATTTTTGGCATTGTTTTGTCTTTTCTGGTACTGTTTTGTCCCAGTTTGTCTTTGGAAATGTCCAAAAATGGAAGAGGCGCCACTTTGTCAATAGTGCAGAGGGCAGAGAGTTTGTCTCCTTCACTCTTGCTTGGCCTTGAAATTCCCCTTAATTAGTATTATCATTGATTTTCACTCATATCACCCACTCTGTCTACTCTGCTTAAATATACTACCTCCAAACACAACAAATCTGAAAAAACGTGCGTATTATTTTTCTTTCTAAATCAAGTCCAAAAAAAATGAACCAGCACTATAGTTCTGCTGTAGTAACTGCTGATTCTGCTGCTTAATTTTTTTTTTAAATGAAAATTAGTATTTCTTCTATTCCATCCGTCTCCGAAGTACGTTGCTGAATGACACTACTAATAAAAATGGATGAAAGGACTTTGTTGGTTCCTGAAGGTTGTTCAAGATGGACCCTTGTGAGAGCAGGGAAATGAGTTTGAAGGAGGCAGGTCCTGTGTCTTTTTACTTGGTGCCCCATTTAAAGAAACGCAGGAACTAAAGCATACATTATTGTCAACTTTGCCAGTATTGTCATATGTATCCTCAATTACAAAACTGACATGTTTTTCAGGTATGAAGTATTTTCATTAGTGTTATTTTCTTCCTCCAGGTTGAAACATTTTAGGAAAAAGTTACAGATGTGACAGACACAATAATAAACAAAGACAAACAAGGTAATGTTTGCTTTTCCACTAGTATGCTTTTGTAGTCACTGTTGACATCTTTAGTTTTCTGGTGATGGAGCTATTTAGTAAGTCCTTTTAAATTCTTTCCCAGCCAGAGCCAAAGTCATCTTGCAAGCAACTTCCTCCTTACAATTGCAGTGTGATGCTTCATACCTGGTGTATCTGATGATGAAGCAGGGATTATGAACTAGTTATACTTAAGACTGTAATTTGTGTTTTAAAGTTCCTCTTTGTCATTCCCCAATTTTTGATCCCCCTACAAATATCTTTTAAGTGCACCTGAAATCCTGCCAGACCCCAGAGGACAAAGGCGAGTGCATGGGTGCTGCAAATATCACTAACAGGTGAACATTTTGCCATTTTTTATAAATATCCATTGGACTTGCATGGATTCTCATTAGTTGATGTATCAAGCCTTCACTAACTACAAGATAGATAAGCTAATAGATACATCAGTTAAGCCAAGTTGAGTTTAAGTGTCTTAGATAATAAAGCTTAGCATAAATTCTAATTCAAGCAATTTCAGCAAAAAGCATAACAAGTAGCCAATCTGGGATAAAAATGTTTTTATTTCAGTACCTTGTTCTTCATAACATCCTTCACAGACACTATAACATTATTTTAGTCTTTAGAAAAATATCTAACAACATGATTGTCTCACACCAGGCATAATCCCAGTGGAAATTAAAATTGCATGCATTTTCTCATCACTCTTTATTTAACAACTGGGAGAGTTTTAATATTTGAAACTCAGCAAGAAAATTGTCTTGAAACACAGAGATTCCTTTGGGGTAATTTCACTTTTGTTTTGTGTGAACTTTAGCTGAGCAATTTTTTTTACAGTAATATGGATCTATGTATTATATGATGGTTAACACGACTTTCTATATGTGCTTCTCACTTAGCATATAAGGAAAAATAGTAAAGAACATTTTAATAAAATCATTTGTCAGCTGGCTTTAGTAATTAAGATACCCTGTTTCAGGTTTTGTAATAGTGTCTTTTAAACCCATCTCACTGGGTTTAAAAGAGAACCTGAAAGTCACTGTACCCCTGCATGGCAGGCAACACAATTGTAGCACTTCTTCATTTTTCACAACAATAACATCACACAAAAGAGGGTGAAAAAAAAAAAAAACCACCACTCTGCTGTGAATATTCAATGCCAGGAACAAGTGAAGACAGGAAGAACACTTTAGACTTTAATAACAATTAAAATTGCAGCATCTTATCCAGAGCTATGTTGGATGAAAAGAGGAAAAGTTGGTTCTAAGAAGAGAATAAATTGGAGAATCATATACTAAGACCTCTGCTTAGTTTGTGTGGAGAACCATGGAGGAGCTTTTGCTGCCCCAGCTCACCCTGGGCTAAGACAGCAGGTTAGGCTGGGCTACAACAGAAAATAGCATTTTTGCCCTGCTGATAAAAAATTGGGGTGACATCCCTGCTGTAAAGTCAGTAAGAAGGTGGGGTTTTTTTAGAACTCCTAAGGATATAGTTGGCCCCAGTGCAAGTCAGCTAGCAATTTCCATGGTGCCTTTGAGGACACTGATTTTTGTTATTTATTTTTTTTTTTCTGTGAGAGTACATCTGGTATGCCCGCGAAATCTAGCCTTGATGGGACTTGGTAATGCAGTTTGCTTGACTCAGAGCAGCAGTATCCAGAAACTGATGGCTCATCTAGAAAATGAGCTGGTTGTTTCCCTTCAGCAACTAAAGGACAAATGCTTGCAATGCAAAATAACATTACCATGGGCTCTTGCAAGTGGCCATGGAAAAGTGACAGTGGGTTTAGTAGGGTTGATTGTATCAGCTGATTTCCATTAGAACCGTTTTCTTTGAGCCTGTAGTGGACCCTTGGGAGAGAGGCTTGCTAGCAGGGCACCGAGACTGCGGTGTGGTGGCTTCCTGTATTCATTATAGCTTAGATCTCTTCTGCAAATTGAAGATTCAGAGGTCAATAATCACCTTTCAGAACCACTCCATTCACACCCAGAGGATGTGGTTATTGCACTGCCTTGCACTGGGCATCGTCGCCTGCTCTCACGTGTCCAGCCCAGTGATAGTAACTCTCCTGTCATTTTGCTCATGCTGTTGATTTTTCCATCTTCAGCATTTCTGAGGCAGAGAGAGACCTGCCAGTCCCTGTCAGGAATTTGGGGGTCTTCCCTCAACTGTTTCCACCAAAGTCAAACCAGCAACATCCAAGGCCTCTCTTTTAGGCTGGAGCTAGTATTAGTGCCACCACCTTCAAACCCAAGTTGCTTGTCATCTGAGATGGTTGCACGCTGAAATGTATGCTCAGACACATATTTCTCTGGATTTCACTCTTACTATAATATTTTAATCCTTTTCTCTGGATCTTAATCACAACCATCTTTTTCTCCCATTAATTGTCTCACAGGAATTTTACTAATTCTTCAACTAACGAAGGAATACCTCAAGCGTCCAAGTTGGTTCAGCAAAAAAAAGAGCCATCAGATCTACCCCTCCGGTGCAGCATCAGCAAGACCAAACAGAAGCAGAAAGTGCTTCGTGTGCTCTTCTTTGCACTAGTCCTGTGAAGTGTGCAAATATTCATACAGTTGAATATTTGCCAGTCCAGAACATTTACCAGCGGACTCCGTTTTGATAGCACAGTACCTGTGGGTAAGTCTGTAAGAGAAGAGAGGTCCCTGAAGATGTCTATTCCCAGGCAGTTCTGCCCATCACACACAGCATAAGACCTCAGGAGTCTTAATAGCGTGGTCCAAACGGGCTTTGTGGAGTCTGGGTAGCCAACGGCGATTTGGTATTGAAGGGAGTCCACTGTAAGTGTGTTGAAAAACTCAAGGTTTTTCACCAAAATGTCAGATCACTGTCAGAACCTCTAAAAAGCCAGAAGCCCATTGTTCCACCTTTTTTTTTTTTTATTTTATTTTCCCCTCTGCACCTAAGCTGACTACTAGGAATGCAGTGACCCAGTAGAGGGTGGAAGGACCATGTTTCTGAAGCAGGTAGGCTATAGGTAAGCTCAAGGTATGCTCTGACTGCCCTTGCGATCTGTGTACCAAGAAGAGGGACACTGAGGTTGTTAACAGCTGGAATTACCTGGGTGCAAGCCAAGCAGATCAGGAAGGCAACTTCGGAACGGTTATTATCAAAGCTATCTGGTGAATCTCATACTTCTCAGCCCGCACGGTCACATTTTCAAGTTGGGCTTGTGGAACATAGTTACTACTATCTTCTGCCCAGGCAGTGGCCTCATCTAAGCCAGGGGCTGATTTTGCATTCTAAACCTCGGAAATCAAGTTGAAATTGTTTGGGCAGACCCTAGCACAGTAAACACCAGCCTGTCATCTGATTCTCATGTGGAGTGGTGCTGTAGAAGGCCAGATACCCCTGTCAAAAACTAACTTTATTTCCTACTGAAAAGCCCTGTCATCGCCTTGTCCGTGCTCAGGTACTGGAAAGATTTGGGTTTGTGTCAGTCATGGGTGACTCTTTGGAGTGTGCACAGCTCTCACCAGATTATCCACCGAGGCTGCTGCCAGTTTTTTGTTTGCAGACCACCTCAGTTATCCTTTTACATATTGCACCTCTCATTATCACAATCTGTCAACCCTGTGGAAGTCATCCTGATTATTTCCTAGTCTGTTTCTCCTGTATTAACATGACCGATCCAAGTATATTAAAGGAATTTCCCTTTTATATTCCAGCCTAAATACCAGTGTTTGAGGAGCAAACAGGTCATCTTACTGATAGAAGTTGTTGGTGCACAGAAGGCATTTTATTTCTTACTCTCTTTGGTATTTTAACAAGGGCAATCAACTTAATTCCGTGTTCTCTTGTGAGATTTTTGCCTTCTGGGTAAAGAACATCCTTAACCTCCCCTTCTTCCCCTTTTCCCAAACAATCTTCTGCTGTGCTGGGAAGATGGAATGTATAGGTGATATCCCTTTCAGAAAATATACCCATAATATATCACAAGTATTGTCATTATGATGTATAAATGTAATGCATCATCAGAGAGCTGTCAGGGTGAAGATTTATTACTCTGAAATAAGTTACAGTGAGACACGGGGGAATGGGTTGACAGAATTTTTGTTTATTTTTCTAAATTAAGGATTTTTCAAGTAGGTTTAAAAATCTCTTACCTTCATGAAGTAGTAGGGGTGGGAGGGTCACAGAAAAGAGGACTTGAATCAAAAACACTGGAAGGACTCGGGAGGCCTCACAGAATAAGAATGTAGTATTTTTTTCCCCCAGGTCGTTTCCATAAGGGGTGCAAAGTTTAAGTTTCCAGCTTAGATGAGAGCTACAGTGGGCAGTCAAAGTCATTTCTATCAACCCAAACTAGACTTTTTTTATTGTTTCTCCTTTAAAGGAAAACAGAGTCTCCAAAGCATGAAGATTTGGGCTAAAAAAAAGAAAAAAAGGTTAAAAAAAGGCTAAAAATGGTCAAAAAATATTAGCATTTTAGTATAAAAGGCTATTCCTTTTTCCAGGTGTGGCCAGTGGACTTACCCTGAACCTGATACAAATGCACTGAAATCAGTGAGAGCTTCGTAGCAGGTTTGTGCAGGCTTTGGATGGAGCCCCTTCCCTGCCTCATGTGGTGAAGCCATGAAACTTGGCACGTTTATAGCATTGTAACATAAAGCCATCTGTGTACGAGTACAAACTTTTCCTTATTGCCAAAGTGCTTAATGTAATTACAATCAGGCTCGCTTCTCCTCTGCTCCTCTCCTCCCTGTGCTGGGACGGATGAAAACTTGCCCTGGTAAATAATCCCCCAGCATCTTGAGCTTGTGCGCCGGGTACAGCAGGGTAAGATGCTAACCTCGTAAATCTGAGGCACTTTTACATTTTAGGGAACACACAGAAAGTTACAGACCATCTTACAGGGAAACTGGTATCAGAAATATGCCAAAAAGTCCAGCCTGGGTTCTTTTCTTGGAAACTACTCCAGACCCCTGACTTGGGAGCTCAGTCGCCTTCCCTTCCCCGAATAGTCGATGAAGAGTCAGAGGTGTCCCAGAGCTTGGATACCTGAGATGGAAACTCCCTTCTGGAGGTGGCTTTTCCTCTTTGCTGCCTAAAAAGTGAACACAATGCTCCTCTTTACCTTGTTCACCACCTAAAGAAGGTTATGTTAATCCTGAGCATCGGTTCCCCAGGCTGTCCCTGTCCATAAGCAGCTGCAAAGTGCTGGTTTTATTTTATGATTCACTCTTTCTGTTGACTTCAACTGTTTCCAAATATGATGTTACCCCATGGCATTGGGTCATTTAGGTGCGGTACTGAGGGATATGGTATAGGGGAGGACTTTGTAGAGTAGGGTCAATGGTTGGACTCGACGATCCCAAGGGTCTCTTCCAACCTAGATGATTCTATGATGCTATGATTGATTGTATTTCCTGTATCGTGGTACTTGCATGCAGTTTCTTTAATACAAAATATAATATTGGTCAGTCTGAGCTAAATACCAAGGTTGCTTATAGGTTAATGAATGCACTGTGCTTGCTGCTGACTGATGTAATTACTGATAGGTGGGACACTCAACTTGACCCTACAGCCCATAGACACGTACTTGACTTTATCAGTGGGGATGGTGTATTTGAAAGGAATATTAACATTGAAAAGAAAACTCACGCAGTGGATGCATTTGCAGGAGCAGGGAATAAGTTTTCAGGGAAAAAAATAGCTGAAGGCAAAAGGTGGTAATACCAGAAAAGTCTCTTCCTGAAGGAACATAATGATAAGCTGCTTAATTTTCGCCAGTTTTAGGAAGACAGTTTAATTAATCACCTAGAACGTAGGTGTGAAATGAGTGCTAAAGTTATGCAGATTACCTCTACCCAAAGTCCTTTATAAACTGTGCTGTTATCAGTCTAGGAAGAACCTTTCCTCCTCAATAAACTTCAGAATGGTTTAATCATCTATAGTGACATAGATACATTGGCCCAGGCCAGATTTATTTTGAGATATTATCAGAAATGGGTAGATACAGATGCTTATAAAGCACCTACACTTTGTAGATGCCAAAAAACCTGTTTCTGTACATCCAGAAAGCTCCAACAGGCTGTGTAGATACATGCTTGTGGTTAAAAATGTACTATGGTCTATGGACACTCTGTGTCCATTTCAAATACAGCAGGGATTTTAAGAGGGGCACAAGTTTTTGGTTTTAATTGTTGTAACTAGTCAAAAAGTTTCTTAGCGTGTCATCAACTAATCTGCTTCAGGGAAGAAGATGGGCCTGGTCCTCTGTGGTCCACCTGATCACAGGGGGCTGAGCTTGTAGGATCACCTTATGAAGCATGGTGATTGAGGGAAGGTTTGTGTTGGGATCTATAGTCTGCTGACAACACTTTCCTAATTTTGTGATGCCAAGGAAAAGGACTTCTGAACCATGCTGCAAGCGTTAAGAGGCAAATAAGTCTTTTTATTTGAAGGTTTCTATGGAAGGTTGTCACACAGGCTACAAATCAGAAGCTTAAGTGCTCGTGTTGCATAAAGGTTGGAGTTACAAGGGTTTTGCCCAAATTCCTGTCCCCTCTGCGAGTAGAGTTTCACTGACATTTAGTGTCTGGTGGTTGCTGCTCAGATCACCAGTTAACACAATCCTAGGTCAGTAAGTTTGAAAGGAGGTAAAACATCTTGGAGAGACCATATGAAATCCATCATGGCAAACCACTGATAACTCCACATCTTATTAGCTTCAATTAAGTATTTCCATGGGGAACTGTGGAACTGTTTAAAGTCATGATGACACATACACACACTTTGTTCCATCCAAAGAAATAATCTGTTTTCCAGATTTCCAGAAAGCCAAGCTATTTTGTTATTGTTTTTTTTCTTTTCCTCCTTTTAAAAGAAATAATTTATAAGAATTTATCTTGGGCTTGCTACAGATTTAAAAGGAGAAAAAAGATTTCTTCTGTCCGACTTTTAAATTATATGCATGACCAAAGATAAATATGTTTTTTATTTATAACTGTGGATAGATGCCAAACAAAGCCTTTCATATGACGCACCGCTGCTGTAGTGGAGAAGTACTTAAAACAGTTCCAGTCAAGTTAGGCCCCAAGACTTTTCATGCAACTTCATGCAAAATGGTTAAGACCTTTCATTTATTATTTTTTTTTTTCCCCCCCTTTTCTTTTGAACATCTTCAAAGATTACAAGTGCAAGGCGCTTAAGAGGATGCCAGGCTTCTTCCTGTCGAGCTGAGATGGTCTGAAAACCACATTGAAAGATGGGAAACTGGAGCCCCCACGGATTGCAGATGAGGGGTTGGGGATTTTTTTTTGGAGGCTGTAGATCTCTCCTGGTCGGTAACCGTTGGGTAAAGGTTATGGATGGAGGCTGGCACAGCCAAGGATTGGTGTGCTGTTGGGAGACTGGGATGAATGGGCTTTGACAATACTGCTGAATAGGGATACTTGTGGAGCTAATACAAACAATTTGTAATTGTCAGGGCTGAAAAGTAAAAACATGATTATAAACTGTGCCTAGGATCAGCTTATGTCAGCTTTAAGTGATTTAAAAGTCTGGTGTCTGGAGCTGCATCTCACTTGCCTGTGAAACTCCTTAAAGAAGACTTACACAAGCGTACAAGCATGTCTCTCCCTTCTTGGGTATTTATTGTGAAAAGTAACCCTTTGTCTGGCTGACAGGAGACGGGGTTTCAGGACAGATGTGAAACAAAGCCTTGCAGATAAATCAGAAAATACGTATTTTCTCTATTTCAATGAAATGAGACGATTGCCTGGTAACGGCAACTCTTTTAGAAACTGCTGGTGGTCCTTGTTTTGTGCAAGGAGAGACTCTGAATGGTAAGGTGCCCGTGCACCGTGGTCACCTGGTGGCTTTGTGCCGTGCCAGGCTTGAAAACTGTTTCTGCCTGGATGTGAAGGAAGTCTGTAAAGGATGCAAACTTCGCCGAGAGAAGGGAAGGAGCACAAGAAAGCATCCTCTGTTACCTGGAGCCTACCATCATTATGCCTGACCCTGGCTCATTATCCCTTGGTATCTGCAGCAGACGATGACCTTTGATGACACCGCACAACAGAATGCAAAGGAGATGCCTGCCTTTTAATTTTGGCTCCAGAATGCCAGAGGCGGTAGTAGCTTCTTCCCCACGCTGTGGCCAGACTTACTTGACTCAAACACGTGTAGGAAAATTAAAATGCTGCTAAATAGTACTAAGCAACACTGTTTAGGGACCGGGTTACATTGCTGATTTTGCTAGGAGTGCCCCTGCCTTCCCGTCCCCCCCCAAAGAGTCTGGAGCAGGCTGGAAGCAACTAATCTACCATGTAATGAGATAGGTTCCTGTTGACACAAGTCAAGGGCAAAACTATTAAGTCATTAGGGCTAATGTTGTAACATTCTGATACAAAGGCATGGCCTGGGCCTTTCAGATGTACCTCTGACCTTTAAGGATTAAGTTTCTTCGCAGCTTATTTTTGCTGCTCAAAAATCTGTCTTTTTTTTTTCTTTTTTTTTTTTTTTTTCCCCTTCTGCTTCACACGCGCTGATCTCTGGCCCTCTGCAGGGTACAGCTCGCAGCTTCTGCACTCCAGGTTTGTCCCACTTTTATCAGAGGAGCTAAGGACAAAGAAGACATCCTTTTCTTAATCCCACAGCACTAAGGGTACGGCACGTGTTCCCCTGCTCAGCACTGCCCCTGTGGGAGCTTGGCCCAAGGGGCTGCTGGTAGAAGGGAGTCGGGGAAATAGAGGTGGCTCGTAGGCTTCTCCCACAAAGTAGAGACAGTGAGGATTCCTTAAACCAATCTAGATGTAATTTAAATACGTATAATGGAAATGTGTCTCGCTCTGTCCCTGTGATAATTTGGTAGAGTAACTTTTCTGAAATCTAATGGGTTTTGCCAATAACCAGATGGTTATTTCAAGCATTGTATCCTCCAGCACAGCAGAAGGTCTGCACTTGCTTCATTTCCATTGCCTGGGCAAGAGAAGTGCAATGGGGCTCCAAAACTTGTCTTGCTGCAATACCTACTGTCTCTCAGGACTGGTTTGTTTAACATCAACTTTGTAGACTTGTTTGACTCGTGAAGTTTTTGACCTAATGCTTTTCTTTTTCCGAGTCACTCTCTGAAATAAGGAACCAAGCAGTGTTCTCACTCGGACCTGTGCTAGGTTGTGTCTCCATTTACCATCACGCTGAAAGCCTACGGAAGAGCGTAAGAAAGTGTCCTCTTCTCCAGGTGAAATCAGCCTTACCCACAGGTAAGCCACGTGGCCTTCGTTTGTAACAAACCCGTTTTCATTTTCCAGATGCACAAAGAAACCAAATCAAGGGACACCCCGAGCTGTTGTCCAAGTCCTGTGCCTGAAACTTTTGACCAAAATGTTTTAGGGCATATAGGCGAGGCCAAGAACATACATGTTCATGAGAACATACTCATCTCAACACCTGAGTGACGTTGTCAGAGCTACTCAGAGTAATTCATTATTGAACAAGGAGGGCTCATTTTATATTATAATTTTGCTCGTTATATAGGAATGTATTCCGTAATGTGGAGCCTTCTCCCCCCCAAAAAATCTGAGAATGTTTTAAATTTCATTCTTAAGTTGTTTTTTAGGTCTTATCTTTCTTATGCATTTTGTTTGTCCTTTTGGATTGCTGCAAAGGGTCCTTTCTCTCGAGGAAGAATTAGCAGACTATTCTTGAAAAAGGACATTTGGGAAGCAAGGCATTCAATGAGCTTATGGCAATAAGCTGTAGAATGCTGTATTTTATTAATTTCTGGTTTATTTTATTTTTGGTTTCAAATATGATGGTGATGAGGAAATTCTGTATGTCATTAATTCCTTTTATATTTTATTTTATTTTAGCATTCAGTGACTTTAAATGCGACGGTGATGGGGAAAGGAAAGTCGCAGTAAAAAGGATTCTGCTCTGAAGACTGTACATGCCAAGGTAGGTCTGGAACGGATGCTCATGGTTGAATTAATAAACCCTGACTGTAGAGGTTTCGAACATGAATTCTGACAGACCCTTCACTGTGACAATACTAGTGGGAGTCACAATAATATCATCTGCTGCTGAACATCGCTAGAATGTGAGCACTGTTGTGCCAAAGGTTAATATGCCAGTTTTATTTCCTTCTCTCTACAGCTATAATTTAAACGAGTTGCACACATAAGTGATGTTATATGCATAGGGTTTTGCATTAAGTTTGCTATGTCAGATTTGTTTATAAAAATCATATTTTGAACCACTTGCCCAGGGGCTCCGTTCTGGGGAGCTGCAAGCTGATTTCTTTTAAAGAGGTAGTTTTCCTTTTCCACGAACTTTCAATAGAGATTTTGGAGCTCGGAACAGCTTTAAAATTAGCACTTGCCCAGGTTTACAATTAGGTTTAATTACTTAGCAACAGAGAGTTTAATCTGGTTTTACATGTGTGCCACATGACCCTTTCCATACCTTACCGGGATTGGAAGGGCCCCCCTGCCTCTCCTGGGGAAAATTGCTTCCCAACATTTTGGAGAGCGTTTACAATGTTTTTGTTCTTATGCTGCAATGCTAATGTTGCCCATAAACCTAATAGTCACACAGCAGTTAATAAGGGGCAGAAAGTTTTATAGTCTTTTCCGCAGTTGTTAAAAATCCTGCTACTGTAATTTAGTCCTCGCCACAAAAAAAAAAGAAACCCATCAGTTGTGAAAAATAAGACACTCTCTATTGGTGTATTCTTGGAAACCAGTGGAAGAGAGGACCTCTCCTGAGCATCTCGCTGAACTTAATGAACTTGGGGATTATTTAAATTGCTTGGCTTGTAATATAAACACTCGAGGGCTTGCCAGCAGTGTACCTTCAGGATTTGTGGCTTTTCTGAAAAAAATCATTTTGGATTTTTTTTTTTTTTTTTCAGAATCCATTGCAATTAGTGGCACTATGGCAAAGGATGATTTATCAAATTGCCTTTCAGTTACAGAAAATAGAAGCCATTAATGATGTTGCAAACATATTTTTAGTCGTGTTCAGCAAGAATCACTTGCTAGCTCTCTTTCTGTGTAAACTAAGACCATTCCCAGGGTACCAGCTGAATCGTCCTTTGTGCGGTTGTAGACCTTCAGGATGGTTTTCACCTTCTCCTGCTGGAAGAGATGCTGATATTCACGACCACACCAGTGGAAACGAGGTGCTTCTCAAAGTCAGTAAGATTTCTAGAATCAAACCTGAGCTGAAACGGACTCACATGTAATTAGGGCTCGACTAGCAGTACCTGTTGGGTGCACACTTACTCCAGTTCCTTAACCACATCACCAGGGAGCAGGAAAGGCTGGAGCTGGGACAACCTGGTCACTGGAAGGAGTGGCAGCTCTGAAACAGCTCTGAAAAGGAACAGTTCACACATTTCTCTACAGGAGAATTTTCCATTAATCAGCCTCTGCTAATAGCTAAACGGTTAAATTACAAAAAAATAAAATTGCAGCCATCTTTAATTCAGAATATTTTTCTCAGAAGGTGCCTGCTCTATTAGTAGATTAGAGATTACTACACAGTAGTGAAGAGTGGTAACGGCGGGGAGAGGAATAAGCAAAAGCTTTTTTGTTTCAAAATTGGAATCCTATGGCCACCATGAGCTCTTCACGTGTGCAGTCTAAAAGGGCAGTGTTCTGATTATTTGGCTGCCATAACTGTATTTCAGCGCTTCAGATGTTCTCCTTTCCATTTCATCTTCCGCCTGTGTTGCCTGGGATTGCAATAATGTGTTCTGAGCTTTCTGTAACATTTCTAAAATGTATTTTTTTCACAGATTAACAGCCCGTGCTTTGCTACTTACACCTCGCCGTGGTTCTCCCCCGCCATCCCCGAGAAGAGGGTCATGGGCTACCTTGGGTGAGCTTAGCTCTACTGACACATTGGGGTTTGCAGTTGATGGAGTAGAAATATGTGGAGTTTGGTGTTGAATTTAGTGGGACTTTGGAATGCAGGGATCAGATAGGTTAATAACAATAGAAACGAAGGGTGTGTTGCCTTTGTGGTGGGTGGATGCTTCAACGAGAAGTGTCTGTGAACAGGGATGGAGCTCCACACTTGCCCCCCGGGGCACTGTGTGGAAGCATTACCCAAAGACAGCACAATTACACTCCCACCCTACTGTTATAGAAATCTAAAAAGGAAATGGTATTGTTCACTGAGTAATTTCTGCCCCCTTGCATGATCACACTACTGGATTCATTTTGAAGCACCTCTGTGGGAGTACCTACAAAATTATCTGTCTGAAAATACAGCAGTGCCATTTCTGGGGTGGTTTTTGAAGAGTTGGTCGTGCAAAGCTTTATCAGAGTGGTTAATGCGCTGCGCCGCGCTCTCCTTGGCCTGGGTTGTTCCTGGGAGAATGAACTCACCATCCCAATGGTTGGGATGCCTTCCGTCGGCGGCAGGCTGAGTGCTGGGTGTGGGATTCTGCACAACCCCTCTCCAATTCCCACCACCCAGCTGGTGCTGGTGGAGTGGGAAGGGGTGGGAAGTAGGAGCAGGTCCCCGTGCCTGCCCCTTCCCACCGAGCCTGGCTTCCTTGCTCCTCAGGGCTCCACACACCTGGTCCGGTGCCTAATATTTTCTATTTAACCACCAGAACATTCCTCCTTGTTGTCCTTGAAGGAGCTGTTGGAAGCAGCAGAGGCACAACTCTTTCCCTGAGGTGCTCCTAGACACCCTGCAACTATATTCAACCCTTCAGTACAGGTTTGCCCCAAAGGTACAGGCTGCTCTAAGCAAGAAGTCAAGCGCTGCTCTGGAAAACAGACTTGTCTTCATGCGGTAAGTTTGTCCTCCTAAACCTTGATCCCCAAACCATTGAAATTAACAGCGTTCTGAAGGCAATTCCCAGTTATTTCCATGCTCTGGAGATGAGATTTCACTGCCTTTTCAACCCTGGGTCTCAGAAGCTTCCTGACCACCTCGCTCTGCCTCTTTTTTTCTCTACTGCGGGAAAGAAAGATGCTATTTGACATAGTGAGATCTAAATAAGTGGGCACCGTGTTTGGAAACTACAGCTCCATTGTTAGCCCCATTTCACAGACAGGGAAGCTGTATCCAAAATGTTAACTCCAAATTGCAGCAAAGCCGAGAATAGCATCCAGGTTTTGTTCTGCAGATAATCCTCCTGTAAAGAAATATTCCAGCCAATATTTGCAGATATTTCCAAATGTCTTGCTTCGTCCTTAGTCACTTGCAGCCGTGAACTGGGAATGCTTCATGTTCATTTTCCTGTTGCATTACTTTTCTTTCATTTTCTTTTCTTTGTTAGTTGCGGTCATTAACAGTTTGTGAATAAATCAATTATGGGTGAAAATACACTAATGGGTAATTGAGCCTTTTTACTCTCGTGCTGATTGAGGTAGAATTCTACAGAGAAAATGCACTGATGTTTTCAAACTGAAATGGAGTATTTTTTTTTCCAAAACTGAACTGACTCACAAACCTCAATCCTCATCATTTTGACTAAGAATTAGGCTCCTTAAAAAAGAGTCTGAGACCCTTTGCAGATTCTCCTTTACTGAGGAAGTCTCCTCAGTTCAGCAGCCAGTCGGGGAGGCAGCTGGAGAGCTACATTGTAGGTGACACTTTGGAATCGTGGGGGGTTTTTTGGTATTTATCAACTGCTGTATTTCCAGCTTGAAGGTACTAATGTTTTTGTGTCGCCTAATAAATTACAGAATGTTTACATGCAATTAGGTGTGTGCCTACGGAGGAGAAGACACCGGGAAACAGGATTTTCCAGAGGCAGTAGCTAGTTCAGAGGCCCAGAGCCACTGCAGTGGCTGTTGTCAGGGAGGACTGAGTGGCAGTTCTAATTACCAGTGTCTGCACAGGTTCCTCATCGGAAGATACAAGCTGTCACGATCCCTTGCCAATCACACGAGAACTGACCTAGGGAGAACAGCAGCTGAAGGTGAGTGTACGTGTCCAATAAATTCAGTCCCTGCTGCATTAGCTTATTTTTAGGATTGTCCTGAAAAGACATTCAGCCTGTATCATAAAACCTTCAACCGAGCAGAAAATATACAGAATGATGATGACTTTAAATTTGGGTTCATGCCCTCTGGGGCATGAATTCCTAGCACTTGGGATATGATTTGATAATGTACTGAATGCTGAAGGAGCGCAGGATCTCCAGATGAGTTCATAAAGACGGAGCATTTATGCGGTGTCTGTGCTCTCCTAATCAAAGGAAGCAAAAGAAATTCTGTTCTTAATTTTTACTGCAAATGGTATTCTTAATTTGCAGAGAAGCCACGCTTTCTATGTAAGGTATTTCTCAGAAACAGGATGTTCAAAGTTAGGGCATAGATTTACGCCTGCGTAAAAGTAAAGTCTGCGTAAAATTTTCTGATTTTTTCACCTTCTTCCATTGAACGTATTAGAGACTTGTTCTTGAATGTAGTTTAGACAATACACGTGTCACAAGCAATGATGAATCAAAGAAAGAAAGCATCCAGAAAGGGAAGCTAACTAGACAGGTAGGCCCTCATCAGCATCACATTCTGTTCCGCAGCTACAATAACAATAATTGAGTCAGACACATGGATTTTAAGTGCCTCTTAAAGAGGAAAGTTAGGGAGAGACACTGTGGAAGGAAAATTATATACTGAAATGTGGCATCTCAGTTTTGCAGCTGCCAACCTTGTTCTGTTGGTAGCCACAGCTGTTGCCTTGTCTTCTAAACTTAGCAGGGGCTGGGCAAAACTACAGAGAAGCGGCGCGGGCACTTCAGCTGGGGAGGAGGTGTGGGTCCAGGTCCCTCCATCAAAGGAAAACCTTTAATTAGTTTTAACTCCTGAGGGAGAGGTATTTTATATGTGTAGACAGAAGAGGATGCCCAGGGAGATGTTGGCCTGCCTCGTGTGGATGGATGCGCTCTCGGGATGCTCCTCAGCAGCCCTTCTCGCACCAGTTGGGTTTTTTTAAGTTTTGCTGGTTTGCCACTTGAGTTTTGTCCATCTTGAGGAGCAAGCTTCCTCAGCATCAGCTTCCCCAGTGACTGAAGGGGAATATTTGTCAAAAAAAAGGGGGAAATCTAGTCTTTGGTTCTGCTGCTGATGGAATATGGTCTTTTAGCACGTGGTCCTCAACCCCAAAGTCAAACCTGGTGCATTTAAAATCTGGAGTGGTGAAAAGTAACAGACCTGTTGTAGCAGAACTTTATGTCATTGGTGCCAGATTCCAGTAAAAGTCTTGCAATACTTCCATTGAATTTGCGTGGGGTTTTTTTCCTATTTTTTCAGTGTCAGCTTTGGATAGCACACGACTAAGTACCATTATTAACTTCCGTCTTCTTTTCCTGCCCTTGTGGTTGCAGAAGAAGATGAAAAGACGTGACCTAACATTCCAAACAAAATGCAAGGACCAAAACAAATCATGCACCGTTTGTGATCTTCTTTTTCAGTTTTATGTTGTTGTTGGGTGCTCGTTTTAATGCAGTCTTACACTTAAAAGCCAGTTCTCTGATTTTTGATGTGCTGGCTTGGGGTTTGTGAGTGCTTTGGCCTTCCATGTGACGGTCACCAGATGATTTGAGGAGGTGAACAAAATGCAGGTGGAGGTAATGGAAGGCATGTTTCCCCCGAGTCCCATACCCTGTGGTCATTTGGGCCTTGGCATTAGGGCATGAAGAAGGCTTATGGTGCAAAGGACTGCTGATGTAGCGTTGGAGGACTGTAAGAACACCAAACCTGGTGTGGTTTTCACCTAAAAAAAGTAGTCCCAGGGCAGAGTTATCTGGTGAACGTCTTTCAGCTCGGAGGGATGCAGTTGGCTTCTTCCAACAGAGAAACTGGGAGTGATTTTGATGTGAGGTATGGATAATCAGGAGAGAAGTGGGGGATATAACACAGCTGACAATGTAAATAAAGCCTGTACTCACCTTATGGGTGAGCTTCACCGGGGGCTCAGCACCAAGCAGGATAATGCTCCTTGATGCTGAACCATTGTGTGAGCCACTGACTGCAAAGGAAAGAGAGGAAATGTGAACATTTGTGTCATATACAGAAAATTCAGCCTGGCCTGCGTGCCAGATGGTATCCTTCCATCTGGTGAAGCTGAAGATGCTGAGAACCAGGATAGAAGGAAAGGGGACCATACCCCAGTTAGAGCTAGGCAAAATATGTAGTTGAATGAAATAAAATATTTCATGAAAAATGATTGATGAAGACTAGAGCTCATAACTCCTGGGGTAATTTTGTCACTTTTATCTTCAGGGTGGAGATCACTACATGCCAGGCTGCATTCCTTCATAGCATCTGAATCATTCTTATTGTCTCCACAAGCTGAAAATGAGAAACAGACTGGCAGGAAAGTTAAAATTTTCAAGGTGGAATAGCCAGATTTTTTTTTTTTTTTTTTTTTTGTTTTATTTTTAATTATCATTTTGACTATGTACAAAATATGGGCTTTCCACTGGTGGATTTTAATATTTTAAGTGTCAGATTGAAAGTTATTTAGGAGCTCATGTCCATTGATTTCTATTTTAATTGGTGTTGTGAAAATTTGCATAAAATATGTGTTTGGATTGGCAGGGGCAGGGAGTTGGCTGCAGCTTTCAAAACTTCAGACCAGTTGTAAATGTCTATTTGCCATTTGTAAAATAATTGAATAGCATTCTCCTAACAAGGCAGCTTAGAAAACAGTGCCTACATTCTTTTGGGGACTTCCATCTGTTGACTGGAATTGCCTCTTGCCCAAAGTAAAGGAGATCCAGAGATCTTTGAACTCTACCCACTGCAATGTCTGTTTCTTTCAATTACAGAGATAGGGAGAGGATGAGCCTCTGATAAGCTGCTTTGTAGTTCTAAGGCCAGAAATAGTGGATATAGAAGTAAAGTTATAGCCAGATTTTTTTTTTTTTTTTTTTTTAGGTTATAAGTTCCTGTTGCATTTTTGAAGACAATAATACACTGGATTTTATGATTCCTCTATTTAAAACAAGACAAGAGTTTCCTATATTTTGAAGAGAAATAAGAGCACCTGAAAAAAAGGGCTTGCTCCATTGCTGTCTATATCCAGCCTGGCTTTCTGTGAGCTGCACGGGGAAGAAATATTTCCAAGACACCAGTGGTTGCCATATCCTGTATGCAAAAAGATTCCATAAATGTCTGAAAACAGATGGAATGCAACTTTGGAGGAATAAATGGATTTTTAATTTTCTGAACATTTTGGATTCCATCTGGTTGAAGTAACTAAGTGACCTAGTAGAATACTTTTACCTTTCTTGTATAATAGATAGAAACAGAGCTTGCATTGCTATTGACTGACACGTTCCCCATTGATATATGGGTTTTACTTGCTCGTACATTTGCTTATTTTTATCTCTTTTGATTGCAGGACAAGGGATACCTGATGCCCCTCTTCCTGCCTGTCAGATCTAAATGTCAGCCCTCGCTCAGTCCATGATTTGGAGGAAAAGCCAGAAAGGAGGAACCCTAAACCACCTGCATAAACCCACCTGACAGTAGTGGGAGCCTAAAGAGGTAACATACCTTAGACTTATCTCCTTATTTATTTTTTTTTTTTTTGCTACAAGCATTGGCACATGTTGAAAAGAATATAAAACTCACTTAATTTTCTGTCGTGTTTAAAGGCAAAGAGCAAGAAGGAGTCGAGGTTTTCTGTCCAGGTACCAATAAGGTGGGTTATTTCTGTTTACTGCTCTTTTTGTTACTGCCATTAAGAATGTTGTTAAACAAATAAGAATAAATACATGTGTGTTTTTAAACAGGAAATGAGCATTTCTCTATGAATAGGAAATGCAGGCAACTTGAACTCACAAGAAAGAAGTCATAAACTATACTACTCTCTATAAAAAATGGGAGACCTGGCTTTATAGAAAAGACACCATTTTTGTGCCTGCCTCAGTGAAAGCTAAAAAGCAAATCTGTTCACCCTCCTTGAAAGCAGTGAGTCTTTTGACTCACTAATATCAAGCCTGTACTTACTAGTTGCACTATTTATGAAGCTGATTGTTTATGATTGCCATTCAGAAAGTTCTGCTGAGAATAACTATTTCCATGCTGATAAGTTCATAAGCAATAGTTAGTAGGATATTGACAATGTGTTTGGTATTAGTTTTCATACTTTTTGGCACTTTGGAACATTTCTCAGGGTTCTTGCTATGAATACGGATGAAACATTCCAAAGAATGAGGAATAACAGCCCTTTTTTTTTTTATTATTTTAAGGGACAGTAGTGAGACTGTTTTCCACTTCTGGAAGCATGTAGATTTGTGTTTCATTAAAAGCCATTGCATTTTAGGATCACAAGTTTCGGTGTAGCAGAAAGCCTGAAATCAGTGAAAGATTTCACTTTTGCCCGACACATTAATGCTGTGTAAAAAGTGTGTTTGCTCAGTCCTTGGTAGGAGAAAATACAGCATTTCCACTGTGAATAACTTTATATAAATCTCTGGTCACTGTAACCCCGTAATTCAAACTAGGCTTGTTTCTTTTCCCTGAAATTTGTGATTATGAACTTCTGAGGGCTGGCAGGAGCACACCCCGACGCTGCCAGCACAACTCTGGACGCGGCGCAGTTGTGTTTTGAGTGTCTTTTCCTGGGATCCTGTAATAAGCTTGCCTTGTATGGCATCGAGACAATTGAATTCTCTTTTGCATTATACACTTAGATAATTGCATTACTGTCTCTGAAGCCTTTTTGCCCCCATAAATGATTAAAACCTTTGTTACATGAATTTGGACTTGGGAGACATATTTAAACCTCCTTATACAGAATATAAGGGGCTGAAAGACTCAGCGGCTGCAAGCATGGAGGGTTTGCTGTTTTGTGATTTTCCAAGAGTTTAGAGTTTTGTAAAAGAGAGATCTGTATCCCACTAATAGTACTGATCACATGTTCTCTCATTTGTATAATTGGGAAAATTACCAATATAATGAAAACGGCTCCATCTAAATAAGTTCTCTATCCACAGCTAATAAAATAGCATCTACCCTCAGAGACCTGGAATTTCTCTGCTAACGCTTTTAGTTAAACAGAGCATTTTGTGTACCTACAGTAAGTGCGATATTTATTTTTTCATTATTCATGAAACAACTTTAATGTCACTGCTGATTTTCCTGGGAGGATGTTCAGCTCCAGCGTACCGGGGCTCATGCTGAGTTGTAGCTGAAGATGTCATTCACAATAAACGTGAGCCTCTGTGACAATACGATGGCAGAAGGTGAAGAATCTCTTTTCTTGTGCAAGGATGTGCGTGTGTCTCTCTCTGTGTGTGAGAGGGAGAGAAAGGGAGAGATTTGATTGTGTTTACAAGATTCATTCGCGGCACAGCAGGCAGTAGTCACATTGTAATATTCACCTTAACACAGATAATTTGATTTTCAACCTGGTTATCATGCATTTAGACATAACGATACATGAAAATATATGCTTTAGCAGTGCATTTTAAACAAGGTTGCACACTTTAAGTCGGAATATATTAGAGGTGAGCGTTGATTTTTGCAATTGCAGAAGTCCTGGAAAGCACCATTCCAGGTGTTCTGTGTTACAGTATTTCTGTAATTCTGTGTTACAGAATTACTAAGAGGAAAGTAAATTCTAATGGGTGAGCCTCAAGGACTGCCACCCTTTCTGGGCTGAACTCCACAGGATGAGCTTCCCCAAATTTGATGTCTCTAAAGGTGTATAAGTTTTTCCCATTTGAGAGCCTCGGGCACTAAAGGAATTTCTTCTCTGAATCCCAGGTTGTCTCCTGACTGGAAAATGAAAAGTGGAAGAGTCCCACGGCCTTTCTGCCCCTTACACTGAAGGGAAAACAAACCGCCTGGTCATAGGACAGATGTTGGCTTGGGTCACCATCAAGATCCTGACCTGCCTAACTGATGTGACACAGGGAAGGAGGTACCTCGATGCTCATCAAGAGCAGAACCTCATTACTGCAGCCTGGAGAAGCTGGAGAGGTAAGGGGATCTCTCAGGATTTTAATTGTAGCTGTAACACAGCAGCCTTCATGCAAGGCAGAAAGGAACCTGCTGCTTGAGCTGTGAGATTTCAAGCTCAGCTTAAATCTACAGAGCGGGGACGTGGTTGGGGCATGATTTTTGTGAATCACCTGCAGCACATTTGCAACAAACAAAAGCAGGGATAATTCTCCTGAAGTCAGGAGGGCTGAGTGTGTTTATACGAGCGGGGGCATTTGGCCCGAGTCCAGTTGGAGACCTTGCAGTATCGCACCTCTGAATCTTCAGAGGGTTTCTTAGAGTCATTAATATTGAGGCTGTATGGTACCCAAGGTAATTATCCATTACTGCTTGGGCCTGGCCCAGGAATTATTCCACAACATGTTGCCTCATTAGTATAATGTAATGGAAAGAACAGAAACAAACTAGAAGCTAGGAAAAATAAGGGTGCTAAGAGGAGAAGAGTGTGAAGAAAACAAACCCCGCGGGGTGAGGTCCTCCGACGGTGTAAATCAGCGCAGCTCTATCACCTTCCGTGAGGCTCTGCCAGTTTACACCCTGTGATGCTCTGGCCCATGGTTATTAGGAAAGTATGTTGTTGATATGCTCTATAATGGCTTCCATTACCAGCCCATGCTAAAAGAAGCAGCTGGTGAAAGTTATGTTTATGTTCCACAGATGGATCGGCAACGGCAGAGACATAGCTCTGTGTCTGGTAAACAGGTGTTTGACTTTGTATTTGCTGGCTAGCCAGAAGAAGTCAGATTCTTGGTGAGGGCTAGGCAAAGGAGATCGGTTTAGTTGCTGAAAAGGAAGAAACAATTCTTTTCGGTTGTACTTTACTTTTCTTTTAAAATGGTGAATAGTGCCCTGAAACGAATCCTGCCTTTTATCGGCATAGTCTAAGTGACCAGGAAGAAAAATTAATGGAGGGGAAAAAATCCCCAAACTGATGGGGGTATTCAAATGATATTGTCTCACCTCCTTCCTTGCTTGGTCATTTTAAGCAGGAGGAGGAAGGGCTTTGGCTTCAGAGAAAGTGAAAGATGCCTATAACGGACTCAAAACTTCCCATGCCAGAGCAGCAACTTCACCAGCTGCTGGATTGCAGAAGAGGACTAGTTAAAATTACAGTAGAGTTTAGCTATGCCTTTGCTGGGAGGTGGAAATATAATAACCTTTTTAATAAGAAACGTTTTGCAAACCAATTCCAACACCTGTAAATTTAATACTTAAGGGTGCAGAGCCAGTGCAGAAGGAGAACAATTGCTTTTCAGCTTACTCAAAATAAACCATTTATTTTGACAGCGTTTATTCATTTCTGATTGCTCAGAAAACAAAAAAGCAGCTGGGATTTTTTCTGGTCTCTGGATGACAAATACTTCTAGATGGAAGAATGACAACATGTAAATTCCTGGGTGAATATCATTCAGGCTAAAATTCCTTAAACTCTGAGGGTTTGGGAGCATTTTTATGGATACCCAGCAGTAGACTGAATCCTCATTAATAACTAATATTATGACTTGTGAATCATAGCGATCCAGATTCAGTACTTCCAGTTGCAAATCAGGTTATTATTTTACTCTTTGACCAGCTCTAGGGAAAGCTCCTTAATATGTAATGCAAAGAAGTAGCCTAAGGGAATAGAGCAGGCTGGCAGCATTTGCCTACAACTTCCCCACACTGCTGCTGGGCGTTGATCCTTCTGGCAGAAGGTTAAATGCATCCTGCTGAGTCCTTGAAACCAGTGGCCAAGGTGGCCACAAGTGGTTCTTCAAGACAAGAGGTGACCCAAGGGGCAGGAAGACCAGCTGGGACGGCTGGAGAACCCCGGGTAGGTCTGAAGTGAAGTTCACCCTCGGTGTTGTTAACTCATTATCACGCCTGTTTTATTGAAACCAAACTCCTCAAGAGCAGCTTTGGAATCGGCGTGTTATGTCGGGAAGGTAGCTGTTTAAATGAAGTGTGAGCAGCGCGTGTTTTTTGAGCTTCTGTTGTAGATGTAATAATATATGAAGGAATAGCAAGAGCAGCAGGTGTTGTCGAAATTTATGGAGGAGCAGCAAGCCCAGGCAGCAGCCCCACAGGAAGAGCAGCGACAGTTACCGCAGCAGATGGTCTCAAGAATTATGAACGTGGGACCTATCCCCAGCTGCCCCTACAGCCCAGTCCTTGAGCAGGAACCAGCAAAACCTTGAGTCCCAGGTCTACGTGGGTCAACTTGAGCCGCGAGGCTGGTGGCCATCAGGAGAAGCAGCCACTCTCCACGATGAACAAGCCCAACCCAAGCTGTGCGTATCGATCTCGGAGCAGCGGTTCTGCTGCCGACGAGGCGAGGTACATCTTGAACCAGTTGGGAATCCCAGAATAGAAGTACTGATAAAGGCTCATGGAGGAATTTAACTACCCAGACATCTGTTGAGTAACAAATACAGCTGAACATGCATCATCGCAGAGGTTCCTAAATTATAGTGAAGACAACTTTATGATCCAGAAAGTAGAGACTCCTGAGGAGAAGCCATCCTGGATCTACAGGAGTATATTAATGAAATTTGCAGATGAAACTTTGCAAGTGCATTAAAAATACAGCAGCAGTGTGTTTTAGGACTGACTTTAGCAGAGTATCGAATGTCTTCGGAATGAACTGTCTTCTCATCCATTTATTCATTTTTACTGCTTCACAAGTAAACGAAAGTCCAAGCCTACCTTCTCCTGTCTTTAAACCTGTTTGCATCATCCTTGCGTGCCAAACATCTGAGATCTGCAGACTCCAAACTACTGCACTTTGCAAACGTCTCTCTCGGGCAGCACACGGCTCATGACAGAGCCTGGGAGAATTAGAAAAAGGGGTAGGTGATAGCACTGTGCCCCTTCCCTTCAAAAAGGCAAGTGCATACCTTTGCAGAAAAAAACCCCATCATTTGAAACAAATGTTGAAGAGGATGAGGAATCTTAAGAAGCAGAAATATTGCAAAGATAATAATGAACAGCAAATAAGGCATGAGTTTTCAATAAGACACAATAGCAAAAGGGGCCTATAAAATTTTGGAGTACAAACAAAGAGATATTACATCACAGAGTGAAGTTCAAATAGGGCTTTTTTCCCCCCTCTGGTTGGTTTCAGGAGATATAAAATAGGCTTGTGCACCAAAATGAGCAGCAAAAAGGTTACACTGATTATAATGATGAACTTCTGACAGTAAGACTTATGACTTTTTAAAAAATGGCCCAGAAGTTTTGATTTACAATGACACTGGACAAAAGGAAACCAAACAAAAAGCCCACAAAACTTGATTCTTATCCTGAAACAGGGGAATGTGAAATCTTAGGGGAAAAAAATTTTCTTAAAATTTCTCACATAAATCAGCTAATCTTTGCCATCCTCAAAGCAGCCCTGAATGAAACCGGCTTCATTCCTCAGATTCAATACAGGGATAATGCCAGGTTTACTCTCTAATGATTCATTTCCTTACATCTGGAGAATGTGTCTTTTGAAAATTTAGGGGGGAAAAAACCCAAGGGTTTTTTTGGTGTTGGGTTTTTTTTTTTTCCTCTCTTGCCAAGTTTTAATTTGATGCATTCATTTCTCCATTACTGTTCTGTCCCAAAGTTTATTGTCTCAAACACTACACAGCAAAATCATTTTCTCATCTCTTTAGGAAGGTAACGTTTCAATTTACATTTGTAATAGTGAGGTATGATCATCTCAGCGGGACGGTAAGCTTAGTAATCTTCCTGCTAAAAACCTGTTCATTAGCTTCATGATAAAATATGCCTGGGTTATAAATATTTCCAGAAAAGAACAGTACTTTTCACTTGTCTACATTAATGCTGACATCTGCTATAGGTCACATGGAGAAAGAAATCTACCTCCAAAAGTGATTCCAATTCAGCGTTGTATTATGACTATTATCAAATAATTCCCCTCCACCCGATCAAAGGCTTTCTCCCCACCTAATGCTAATAACATTCATGGTCTTGAGCCTTTGCTTTTTTCGAAGATTTTAGACTCCCCAAAGCATCACCTAAAAGGTCGCTGAGGGGTCAGGGAGTGTTCAGCTCTTTGATGAGAAGGAACCAAGAGCTCCTTTTAATCTTAATATTCAGCTCCAGTACACACACACACAAAAGAATAAATAATTTGAGGAAGACTGGTCTCAGTCCAGGCACAAGCAATAGTGGAAGACTTTTTTTTGTCAAAGGTGCAATCTAAGAACTACCTTTGCAAGCAAGGAATTTGGAAGGAGATGAAAAAATGAAGGAGAATCCCTCTCTGGTTATTATTTCTGTCTGAATTCCAGTTGGAATTGGATTCAGACAAAGAAGATTGGAGACGAGCATGCTATCAACAAGATAGCAGCAGTGATATACAAACCACCACTAATGAACTCCCTTGATGTGTCCAGGGAGCTCTTCTAAAGAAAGCCTACAAACACCCGCCTGAAGGCTCTTCTTGCTTCAGGCTGGATGGATTTGCCTGCCGTTCTTGCTCTAAGTTAATTTGTAATCTACAAAACCAGCCTCCTATTAAGAGACAGAAACAAAAACCTAAAGGTAAAAAAAAAAATTAAAAAAGAAATGGCAACACAATCTCCATCAACCTGAAGCTTCAATTTTTCCATCTGCTGCACCTGAATGGGCGTTCGCGGTCATCGAACTGAGTCTCTTCAAGGTTTCATCACCGCGGTGGAAGCAAAAGCCAGTAAGAAAAGTCACTTGTGGATCCACATTTCGGTGAGGGAAGGTATAAAAGGCTCTGAACTGTCCCCGAGCAAGGTTATTAACTTGAAAAGTATTTAGCTGAACCTCTTTCCTGGTGCATTGACTCATGCCCTCCACTTCAGCAAAGCCAGATTACAGTGATTTGCCAACAATTTTGCAGCTGCAAAACTCAGGAAGGTATTTTAATTGCATTTTCCCCTGTGATCAGTTCTGTTGCCATATTCTGTGGTTGAAATCTTATTGGAATGCTTTAAATAGAACAAAGACTCGGTCGGCTG